AAAAAAGCAACAAATGGTAAAAACCCAAATCATAAAATTCACTTTCTTAAATTTTCCTGTAAAGTACTCAAAAAAGACCTCTTTTTACCTATTAATACCTCAGCTCTAGTTAAGAATATTAATTGAAGTTATTTACTTTAAATGTCCTGCAAATTCTCAATTTCCCACTTAATTTTTGTCTTTGATAATGTGCAACACTTCTTTTAATATACTAGTTACAGTTTTCCTACCTACTGAAGTTAATGCTTGATATCTGTATTTTTATTTATTTTTTTCAAACTGGGGCTGGGTTTGAACACGCCATCTCCGGTATATGGGGCCTGCACCCTACTCCTTTGAGCCACAGGCACCGCCCTTGATACCTGTATTTGGAAGGCAAAGCTTCCCTGGGGGGGAATGATTGGTTTTGCCCTCTTTTTAATGCTAATGCAAAATGTAGAGTTATTAAAAAAATAAAGGCAGGACTTATAGTTGACTATCAAACTTCTAACCTTATGCAGAAATCCCAAGATAGAGTTTTAGCATTCCAAATTTAACTCAAAACAAAAGCCTTTGCTTTGAGTATACAAATGCTCCTTTCAGTTAGAAAAGTGCTAATTTGTCCAAAGTCATACAATGTATTCACTCATTTTCTTGAAGATGACTCACTCAATAATCTGAAACATAATGACTATGTGTTTGTAACAATTCAAAACAACTGTAAAATGGCTTGTCATTTGAAAACTCTGAATTAATTTAGAGGCATCAGTTACATTTTCTGAATTTGTATTTTGTAAATGTAAAGCAGCTGAAGCTGCGTATTTTAGTAAGAAAAGATTTTTTTTTTTGAGACAGAGCCTCAAGCTGTCCCCTTGGGTAGAGTGCATGGCATCACAGTTCACAGCGACCTCCAACTCCCAGGCTCAAGCGAGTCTCCCGCCTCTGCCTCCCAAGTAGCTAGGCTCATAGGTGCCTGCCACAATGCCTGGCTATTTTTTGGTTGCAGCCATCATTGTTGTTTGGTAGGCCCGGGCTGGATTCGAACCCGCCACCTTAGGTGTATATGGCTGGCGCCTTAGCCACTTGAGCCACAGGTGCTGAGTCAATAAGAAAAGATTTAATTGCCAGCTATGCCTTTCTAACTGCTTCCTTCATGCAGTCTCAAGTTGTTAAAATTATTATTATTATTTTATTTCTGAGACAATGCCCAGCTATTTTTTGTTGTGGTTGTCATTGTTGTTTAGCTGGCCTGGGCTGGATTTGAACCTGCCAGCCTCGGTGTATGTGGCTGGCACCATAACCACTGTGCTACAAGTGCCAAGCCCGTTAAATTTTAATAGAGGTTCAAACCAAACTCCAGAATGTTATCAATGAGAAAAAGATAAACCAAGTAATGTTAAAATCTCAACTTCAGCTTTACCAAACCACACAAATTTTGGATGGAAGCTATCAGCAAATGCCTATTAGGTATCCAAGTATGTACAAGTGACTGTTACGCATTTTAGAGAGTTGTACTAAAAATGTGCTTCCTTGACATCAGCTTTGATATCATGGGGAAACTGATTAAAAATACAAATTATTAGGTGGTGCCTGTGGCTCAGTGAGTAGGGCACCAACCCAATATACCAAGGGTGATGGGTTCAAACCCTGCCCCGGCCGAACTGCAACAAAAAATAGCCAGGCATTGTGGTGAGTGCCTGTAGTCCTGGCTATTCGGGAGGTGGAGGCTAGAGAATCGCCTAAGCCCAAAACTGGAGGTTGCTGTGAGCTGTGATGCTATGGCACTCTACCAATGGTGACAAAGTAAAACTCTGTCTCTAAAAGAAAAAAAAATACAAATTTTTGGCCAGGCGCAGTGGCTCAGCCTATGAGAACTCTGGGAGGATGAGGCGGATGGATTGCTTGAGCTCATGAGTTCAAGACTGGCCTGAGCAAAGAGTGAGACCTCGTCTCTACTAAAAATAGAAAAACTGAGGCAAGAGGATCACTTGTGCCTAGGAGTTTGAGGTCGCTGTGAGCTGTGACACCACGGCAGTCTACCCAAGCCAAAAGCTTGAGACTCTGTCTCAAAAAAAAAAAAAAAATTATCAGCCTGAGCAAGAGCAAGACCCCATCTCTACAAAAATAGAAAAATTTTCTGGGTGTGGTGGCACATGTTTATAGTTCCAGCTAATCAGGAGGCTGAGGTAGGAGGATTACTTAAGCCGAGGAGTGTGAGATTGCAGGGAGCTAATAAGAGGGCCACTGTCTTCTAGCCTGGGTGATAAGAATGAGACCTTGTCTTAAAAAAAAAAAAAAAGAATTTATCCCGGCTTCCCCCAATCAAACAAACTCTATAGGTGGAAACCAGCAATTGTGGTTTGACAAAGTCCTCTAGGTGATTCATATGTATTCTAAAGTTTGAGAATCACTGCTTTATATTAATACTATAGGAACTGTACCTCCCTTTTGTTCACTTTTAAAGAACTATCAAGATATGCAGACAAGATTGACAAATATACAATGTTACTTTTAGTTAGGATATAAAAAGATTAAAAAAATTAAAAGTCAGAATATAAAATAACTATGAAGGATATCTGTATTTTACTCATTATCTCTCTTCCTGGACAGAAAGTAGAGATTAACTACTTAAATCTAACATGTCTGTGTCTGTGGCTCTCAGTTAATTTACAAGTAACCACTCTAATCTAAAAGGACTAGAGTACTATAATAATTACCCAATGGTCCTTCTTGATTTAAAATGACCTTTTTGGGCGGTACCTGTGACTCAGTGGGTAGGGTGCTGGGCCCCATATACCAAGGGTGGCAGGTTTGAATCCAGCCCTGGTCAAACTCAAACGGTGACAACAAAAAATAGCTGGGTGTTGTGGTGGGTGCCTGTAGTCCCAGCTACTCAGGAGGCTGAGGCAAGAGAATCGCTTAAGCCCAGGAGTTGGAGGTTGCTGTAAGCTATGATGCAATCGCACTCTACCAGGGGCAATAAAGTGAGACTCTGTCTCAGAAAAATAAAATAAAATAAAATAAAATAAAAATAAAATGATCTTTTCTTTCTCTCTATTCTATATTAATTTCTAAGGAATATTCCTTAAATACTGTAGTTCTCCTGTCAGTCCCTGGCTCAAAAATCTGTGATGTTTCACAAACTACTTACTGAAAAGGGAGAAGGACTTCCTCTAGTTAGTAATCTAGAAGGTCAGATAAGAAATGTAAATGGGTAAAGTAAGCCAGGTGAATTATTAAATACATAGAAATACTTTTTAATATCCACAAAGAAATATGCTCATCCCATTTTTGTTTTCCTGGATTTACTAGAGGTATTATTATAAGCAAACTGACATGGCAGGAATGATGACAAATGATGACACTGACTTTACTACCTAGAAGACAATAAGATATGAGGGGGATTATGGTAAATTAAGAAACCATGTCACAATTTCCCTTAACCCGGTCTAGCTAAGTTTTGCCATCTGAGAATAAAGTCAGAAATTTTTGATTTTTGAAGACAAGCCCTAAGTCGAGATTTTTTTATATGAAATTTTCTGACTTTAAAATTCTGGCTTACATTAAACAACAACATGGCTCATGCCTGTAATCCTAGCACTCTGGGAGGCTGAGGTCGGTGGATTGCCTGAGCTCAGGAGTTTGTGGCCAGCCTGAGCAAGAGTGAGATCCTTTCTCTACTGAAAACAGAAAAACTAGCCAGGCTTTGTAGTGCACACTTGTAGTCCCAGCTACTTGGGAGGCAATGGCAAGAGGATCACTTGAGCTCAGGAGTTTGAGGTTGCTGTGAGGTATGATGCCATGGCACTCTACTGAGGGCAACATAGTGAGATTGCCTCAAAAACAACCAACAACACTGTGTGATCCAAACAAAACATATCCTCTCATCTAAGAGCTACCAGTTTGAGAATTCCAGTTTAGAGCATTAAATCCGTATTTGCCTGCCTTATTTTTCTAGCATCTATCTCGCCTATAATAATAGGCAGTACTGCCACACACAGTAGCAATTTGTGCTCTTCCTGTCCATTTGGTCCTTTGAACTGTGAGAGGTAGTCAGGAGATGAGGAAATATGCACAGACATGGTAAAGTAACTTGTCCAACATTATATGATTAATAAGAACCTAAGTCTAGTATCAATCCCTGGCCATTTCACTCCCTTCTTGTCTTTTCCTCTATGTGTTTTTGCTTAAGTTATGTCCCCATCTAGAATGATTTCTTTCTACCAATCCAAATCTCATCATCTTTTAAAATCCTGCTCAAAAAAAATAAATAAATAAAATCCTGTTCAAGCTCCACTACCTAAATAAACCTTCCTCAACTAGGCCAAATCTTCAAGTTTTCTCTTCTTTTTCTGAACTTCAATTGTCATTAGTCAGTAACTCACAAATCTGTGCTAACAGTCTTGAACTACCAAATTATTTCATATCACATTAGCTAATATTCCTCAATTACATTCTAAGATCCTGGATAATAATGACATACCGTGTTTCCTAGAAAATAAGACACTGTCTTATATTTATTTTTTCTCAAGAAGACACACTAGGCTTATTTTCAGGGGATGTCTTATTTTTATTAAGTATAATACAACAATCTACATTTATTCAAATACAGTTCAGTCATCTTCTTCTGGAACCTGACAGGGGGAGCCGACATTGTTGGTGCAACTGGCGCTAGTGACGTGTGAACTCCTTTCCCCTAGCCCTTAGCAAGTGCGCAATAGTATGCCTGCGACCACGGTTACCACACATGCACCGGCGCAAGTGCAAACGGCTCAGAGAAAGGAGCTGTGGCAAATAAAAGGTATTCTAGTCTTCCTTAGGGCTCAGCGCCAAAATGCAGGACAAATGCATAGAAATTCTACTAGGGCTTATTTTTGGGGTAGGTCTTATTTTCGGGGAAACACAGTACCATTCATCTTTCCTATTCCACATAGTTTTATGTCCCAACATAAAAATGTTTAACAATAGCTATCTTAGACAGTCTTTTGAGACAGAAGATTATGGTGACACCACTAACTTACCAGCCTGATATTGTCTTCTGGGCGCAGCAGTATGAACATTGCTTGAAGATGCTGTTGGAGATCACCTGATAAAATTACGAAGAAAGGATAATTATTCTCCTTTCGAATGTCAACAGAGAAAATTTCTTCTATCTTTAGCAACTTTTGTAAAAGAAAGTTCTGATTCACTTAAGGGCTCTATTAGACATAGAAATTAAATAATATGATTATTGACTTCTTTTAAATGGAAAGAGAGAATGGTAGGCTGTATCTTTATAAATTCAGTTTTAGTCTACACTATATTAAAATCTGTGTCTATCCTATGAAAGATGTACTTCAGACCAATCTCAGAATCATGTAATGTACTATGGTGGAGGCTGATGAGAACTCTGCTGGGCAGAGGCAACACTGCCTGTGTTTTCAGGCCCACTGAAGGTGGCAATAAAGGCATTTTGAAAATGTGGTACACAGAATAATTATCCATGTTTTTTAAAGCTAACCATTTTGCAATTCCTATCTCTATAATAATCACCTTCAGTTGTACTTCACCTAAGAAGATTTTTAGATTCCTCCCAGAATAATGCAATAGTTTAAAATGATTTTCGGCATCAGTGCTGCTACTAAAATGAGAATACACACACACATATATAAATATAAAACATAGCATATCATGGATATATATATCTTGAACATATTATTAGATGCTTTAAAATGGCTAGTCATTATTTGAATCTTCACTTGTTTCTCTTATTTTTGAGACAGAGCCTTGCTATGTCACCCAGGCTAGATAGAGTGCCACGGCCTCAGCCTAGCTCACAGTAACCTTAAACTCTGGTGCTCAAGAAAACCTCCTGTCTTGGCTCGGCACCTGTAGCTCAAGAGGCTAAGGCACCAGCCACATACACCTAAGGTGGCAGGTTCGAATCCAGCC